CCACTGGCGATAGTGGACAGCCTTGCCTTGTTCCTGATCTTAGAGGAAAGGTTTTTAGTTTTTCACCATTAAGTTTAACGTTGGCTGAGGGCTTGTCATATGTGGCCTTTATTATGTTGAGGCACTTTCCTTTTATACCAATTTTGTTCATTGTTTTGATCATAAATGGATGTTGTATCTTGTCGAAGGCTTTTTCTGCATCTATTAATATGATCATATGATTCTTATTTTTTAATTTGTTGATGTGGTGTATCACATTCATCGATTTGCGTATGTTGAACCATCCCTATGCCTCTGGGATAAAGCCCATTTGATCGTAGTGTATATTCTTTTTAATATGTTGTTGTATTCGGTTCGCTAATATCTCATTTAGGATTTTTGCATCTGTGTTCATGAGAGATAGTGGTCTGGAGTTTTCTTTTTTTGTGTTATACCAGGTTTTTTTTTTTACAGTGAATACTTCCTGAGGGACTCAGTTCTATCTGTGACAAAAGCCATCTGTAGCAATGAGATGATGTCGTGGCTACATTTCATCTAATACTCAGTTCCATCTCCACAGGTAGGCGTTATTAGCCACACATGTAAAACCGATATTCTCACAACACAAGAAAGGGGGAGTAAAACCCTAGAACCCACGCATTCTTACCCTGGGAAGGGTTATGCTATATATGGAGGTCGAACTTTTTTCTTTGACAAACTCCCTAAACCTACTGAGGCCAGTTGATTCAACAAGAAGAATAGAGTTCAGCCAATATTATTGAACTATTTAAGATTCCAGCATTTTCACAGAACTTGTACTACAAATGCTCTTGCAATGTACAAGCCTATGTTATTCTACCAGAGCCTGCATTTGATGCTTACAATTACCCAAACGTTTGGGCAGGGTGGGTATTATTAAGCCACTTTGCAGATGAGGAAATTGAGGTTAAATGAGTTTAAAGAGCTTGCCCAAGGTCAGGCAGCTAAAAAAATAGCAGATCCAGCACCTGAACCAAAGTCTTTAAACTCCAAGTTACACGCTTTTTCTGTTGTCCATGCCTCCCCCTCATTAAAGAGAATCTGTTGGTGGTGAGATTCTAGCATCTCAGCATCTTTCCTGAAGATTTGCTTACTACCAGGTCTGCTTCTAGAGGGTAGAACCTATGAGGCTTAAGATATAATATATTTTCTTCAGGGCTTTGTGCATGTCTGTTGTTTCATTGAGTTTCAGCCCCACCCACTTTATGTCTATGAAAACAGTGGGCAATATTTGTGGGCTAGGGCTAACATTATATGGTTTTCAGCTTTTCAAGCAACTTTTATTCTGTTTCCTCTAGAATATTCTGGTAACTTCTCTTTGCACCCAATGTGACAGAAATAGGCAGGGATGGCATTTCACAGTAACTCTTGTTTCTCTTCTCAGTGTCTGTGTACTCTGGGATCCCGCAGAAACTTTATTTCTCAAACTCACTGTCTTTTACCTACAGTCCTTCCGACTGCTCCAACTTTTATTGTTTCCTCCAGGTTTTGAAAGAGTTGCAAAATTTATCGAACATAAGTGTTTATTCAGGAAATAGAATTGACAGATAGGTGGTTAAGTAACTTCAGTTGAACATGCCTCTGAACCGTGGTTGTTAAGAGATCAGGTGATTCAGCACAAAGAAAAGTGACTAGCCTGAAGCAGCTAAGGAATGGGGTGCAGCCAGGCTACTACTGGCTGCTTGTTCTGGGACCTGAAAGGCCACTGGTATCCTGTTAAAACTTAGGTGGCTGGTGCAGAGGCCTGACCAGTAGAAGGCAGTAATTGCTTAACTTTCATTTGATCAAAAAGAATGTAGTTTACACACAGGGACTGGCCCTACAGAACAAGTAGATGGTTGAATGTATTTGAATAATCAAGCTTTCCAAGTGGAAGCAAAACGTATTCCTATTGACTTGTGCAATGCAAATAAACTCGACCAGTCTCTCTTTTCATCGTAGGTAAATGAGTTTGGACTTTCCCATACCGAAGGTCAGAATGCTGCCTCTCTGTCATGCTCTAGCTATAACTGTGGTCCAGATCTTTATCTTCTCAGAAAACCGGGCATTTGCCAAGAATATCAACTTCTATAATGTGAGGCCTCTTCTCGACCGTAAGTAGAGGTTGTCCTTGTAGTTCATGACTGTGGGGTGGGGGTATCCATTTGAAGTCCCTGTTTTTACCTATAGTAACTGTGTCTTTTCTAGAACATTTGATTTATACCTAGAATAAATCAGAAAGTCTTCACTACTTCTGAAATTTTCTTCATTTTTTAAAAAATGGCCTGACTTCCTGTTAAAGTCTTAAAAGGGTTCTTGTTTAAAATAATCTTTGAACACTGTCCCTAAGAATGGCTTAGCAGAGGAAATTCAGTGTTCTTTGTTCATCACTTCATTATAGAAGAATATTGGCTGTAGTAAGTTTCTGCATCAATGATGTATTCTTTCAAATGGCCATTAACAATTTTGAAAACAGATTGTTACGTGTGAAATTTGGAAGGAACTACTACTTAGATTTTCATTAATATTATGCACAGTTAGAAAAGGCGTTATAAAACCTGGGCTTCCATTAATAATTTAAAAATAAGTAAATAGAATATATTACCTATAGGATTATATATATATGTATGTGTGTATATACACACACATGCATATATGTGTGTATTTATGCTTGTATACATTTAGCATGTCCCCTCCTTGATCTCTCTTCAGACAAGTAAAGCTCCTCTGATATACTTTATTAGAGAGAGGTTGTTATAGGTAAAACCTGTTCAATAGAAATGTGAATGACTATGGTTCTCACATGTGGGAGAGTATGAGAATCACAATAAAGCCTTTAAAGCTACATATTCCCAGGTCCATTTTCTAGAGATTCAGTAGTCAGGAGGGTGATATACAGATTCTTTTTTTCTCTCTGCCCTCACTTGGTAAAAAAACTCTTCTGATCCTATTGATGCACAGCCAAGTTTTGGAACTGTTGTCTTTCTACTACTCCTAAATGAGGTCTGCGTCATTATTGTTCTTCATTGTACTTGCTTTATTATTTGGGACATTCAGTCATCTGCGTGTGTACATATGTATACTACACACACACGTATGTATATGTATGTAGACCATACATACACACTTTAAACTGTCATTTATTATACATTTCTTAATTGGTAAGAATTGTATACTGATAGCTAAATGACATGGCACTGACATACTTTTCATAAAATCTAAATTATTGACAAATTTTGAACTTTTTAAACCTAATACAATTTTATGATGAGAAAAACAATTTTTTTTAAGAGAAAAAGTAATATTTGTTCATTGTAGAAAGTTCCAAAGATACGGGAAATGTATAGAAGAAAATTAAATTTTTTCATAATCCCAGGATTCAGAGTGAGCTCTTTTTTACATTTTGGGATATTTCCTTCCACTGTTTTACCTATATATGTGTATTTAAATACATGACATACTGAGATTACACAAATTTAATTTTGCAGCAATTTTTCTCCCATTAAATTATATTTTAAATACTTTTTCATGTCTTTGAAAGTATTTTAATGCCTTTTACATTCAAATTTTTAAAAAATCATATTTCTAGTTGATAGCTTATTTAACCAATTCCCCATACCTCATATAATACACACATGCACATACACACACAATCACAAGCAAGCTAAACATTAATGCTTCACTGAAAATCTTTTTAAATGCATTTTTCTCTTCATTTGGCTAATGACCTGACAATAGATTCTTGAAATTAGAATTATTAAATCAAAAAGGTTGTGTCAATTTATACTTTAACTATTCATCTACCAGCATTGAGTATTAGTATTTTTTAAACTGTACTGATTTAATAGGTAAAAATGGATTTTTTCATTTCATTATTTATTTATCTACTTAATTCACTTAGGCAAAACTGAACTATATTTGCAATACTTAGTTTTATGTCCTCTGATCTTTTGATATATTGTTCCTTTTTTATGCATTAATATATAGCCTTCCCTGTATCTGAAATACTCAGTGCTTTCAAATTGTTATCCCAACTTGTGATCAGGTTACCAGGATGGTTTGGGGTTCACTTTGATCTTTGCCTGCTTCATTCTCCAAAAATGGAAGAATTGAAAGTTTTATACAGGGCTTTATACCCTGGCCTATAGAAAAATCTCAAATCTATTGTATTTTTGACTTTTTTCTCATTAAAGCAAGATACAAGGTAGAAAGAAAAGCATAAGGACAAAAAGAACATATTAGTTGCTCTCAGTCCAGACTGCCAGCAGCTCCTAATTCCTCTTTTTCCATAACGCTGTCCTGAGTGTAAGGGCCTGAGAATTACCATCACCCTTATATTAATGTTACATTCCTGGTTGAGGTCTAACTGACATACATTAAGTAAGATTACTTGCTCGAGGTTAAATATAGCCATAATATAAGTGCATAGGGATGGAAACCAGCCTGATTTGATATGCCAGGGACTCTATCACATATTTTTATTGCAACCTCCTGTTTAACCTTTGCTGCGCCTCTGCAAGTCATGAGGCTCCTCGTGGTTGCTATTGCTATACATACGAGTATTTCTTTGATGTCCAAAATGACACCACTAATTAGTGGGAAGGGCAGAATTCAAGTTCAGGTTAATTTGACTTCAGCTCTTTTTGGGGATGATACCATATCAAATTATTGGTTCCAATGAAGCCACTACCCTTACCTATCCTCTCAACCCCCACCTATTCCCAAGTTATAAATTATAATAAAACAATACCATGGATATTTCAAAGTGGCTTGAGATATTTATTTCATTACTCTAGAGTAGATATTTACAGATTAAATATTTAATGAGACGGGAATAAAGAAAATACCCACAAAGTCTAACAGTTAAGTTCAGCTCCTTAAAAACAGAAATTCTAAGGATGATGGCTTGTAAATTTTGTTTGATCTGATAAACATTGTTAATTTTGTGCCATATTTGATGTTTAAAATTTTTGTCTTTTTTAACCTGTTTCACTGTGCATTTTTCTTTAAAGCCACACCATTTCCAAACAGCTTCAAGTGCTTTACCTGTGAAAATGCAGGGGATAATTATAACTGCAATAGATGGGCAGAAGACAAATGGTGTCCACAAAGTAAGTGTGTTGAGTTTAGAAGACTCCTTCGGAATCACACCTCATTTACACCTCATGTCTCTTGACTGGCCCTTAGCAGAGGCATCTTACTTAATGGGATTAGCAAACCCACAGGCTGATCATGTTCTGTAGAGATTTCTTTTAAGAGACTATCCAGACATCAGACTTTTCAGAGAGTACTCGGAAACTGATGGCATAGCCTCAATTTGTAATTGTGTGTGCCTTGAGGAAAAGTTTCTTAAATGGTGTTTACTAGGGAGAAGTAATAGATCACAATGTTGATTAAGGCATTCTAAGAATTTCAGAAATGTTTTATGATATCTCTAGAAAAGTTGTACTTACTGACTAAAGCAAAAGAAGAGTTCTGTACTCTTGAGAGACATTGATTCTTGGGAAACTCATTCATTCATTGACAAATATTTGAGTATATTTTTAGTTGATTTAATTCACTAATATATCCCCAGTGTTTAATCTAGTGCCTGGCCCATATTAGGCATTCAGTAAGTATTTGTTGACAGTATGAATGCATGCCTTTGATTAAGTAGTCAGGGAAATCTTCTCTGAGGAACATACATTTGAAATAAGATCTCAATGACCAAAATAAGCTAGCTAGGTTGAGATTTGTAGAAACAGCATGCCAGGAAGAGGCAACAAATGCAAAGGCTACTTAAGTGAACAGGGAGAAGGCTGGCTAGTGAGGCTCGTTGGGAGATGGAGAAAGAATATCATGGAGGTAAGGACCAGGACACACAGGATTTTCTTTTTCTAGTAAAGAGTTCGAATTTTATTGTAAATATAATGGGAAGGCAGTAAGGGTATTTTAAACTAGGGAGCACAAGATGGTAGTTGTGTTCTAAAATATTGCTCTGACTGCTGTGTGGAGAAAGGATGATTGGGAACAAGTAAAAGGGGACACCAAATAGGGTCTTTTATTGTCTTCAGGTGGAGAAGATGGCCACTTGGAATAGGGAGGTAGGAGTAGAGGGGATGAGAAGTTGAATAATTTAATATATACAAACATGGAGGTAAGGCAGACAGGATGTGCTGATGGATGATTTGGAATTGAAAAACTACTTACAGCTATAAGGAGATCAGGCTATTCAGATTTTAGAACGTACCTTTTTTTAGGTTTTCAGATGTAAAATGTCAAGAAAAATAAACAAACTCTCCCAGTGTTAGAGATTACTAGTTTTGATCTATTACTACCTCGAATCTTTTGGAAATTTCTGTACTTCACTATATATAGCAGTGAAGTAACCTTACATCTTTGAGATAAAGGCAATGTGTGTAGCCAGTAAATAGTCCACACTGGAGATCTTTACGGGCCTGGAAATCTTATGCTATAAATTAGCACAAATGATTTTGACATCTACTCAGACAGTATTTTTCATTATTTCTTTTCAAGAATAATTAATTACCAAAATATTTTTCTTGGGGTTCTTTTATATTTCTGTAATCAACCTTAAATTTTGTGAGGGCATGCGAGTGTATACATTTTGGGATTTGTTTCCACATTTCCACAGAAATTTATCTTAGTTTTTTCAAAGTTTTTAAGATTAACTGATGCCTCTTTTTACTAACTTATTTGAGAGGGTGGGTATCATTCTTTAAGTATTTGCTTTAAGTTCCCCAGAAAACTGGACAGTAAGGGTTAGAATAGTTGTAAATTTGGGCATTGATGTTCATTCTCTTGTGCTTTATCTTCATGGGCCATACTATTCATTTGTATTGTAGCAAAACACTGTTCCTGCTCGGTCTGTGCATAATGCTCCAATTTGTCATTCATTAATCAAAGCCATTTTTAGTGAGAACGTGCATGCATATTTCTGGGTTTTAGAATTTCATCTGTTGAAATGTGTGAACAAAAGAGAGAAGCTGTAGCTTTTCACCACCAAGAAAACATCAGCGATAGGAGGGTAAAGAAAGTCAGCTCTTCCAAGTCCGCCTTGAAAACCTAACTCTTAAAGAGATTGACATGGAATGACCCTACATTCCAACACACACGACAGTACATTCTTGACTATACACCGGTCAAGCCCCCAAGATACTAACCATCTGGAATTCTTACTGAAGGTATAATTTCTTACTTTTCAGTTTGTCAGCCATTTCTTGGGGCCAACAGGCCTGCAGCTATTGTTCTTTGTCATCTCAGGTTTCCTTTTCATCTTATAGCTTTACTTCTGTGGCCTATCGTGTTGTTAAAAGAGGTTCTCTGTGTAACAGGATAAGACAAGAATGACATTTCTTATTTTATTTACCCTGACTTTTATTCTGACTTTCTAGGGCTGCTTTAGCATATGTGATATTATATATGAACACATGCGGCCACCAATTTTCAATTCTTCTTTGTTGGCAGTATAAATTGAAATGCCTTTCCAAACATTTAATGCATTTCTTCTGAATCCAGACGTCAGCTGCTCTTGTAGAGCATGTTGCAGTACCATGTAGTTTAATATTAAATATACTGAGAGGCAGAATAGTGCTCTGATCAAGAACACAAACTCTGGAAAACAGCCTAGGTTAGAATTCTACCTTCTACCACTTTCTACTTATGTGACCTCAGTTTCTTTTTCTGTAACATGAGGATATTAATATGTCTTATCTTAAGGCATGTTGTAAGGATTGAATGAGCAAATACATGTTAGATGATTTACATGGCTGGTGATACCCACTCAATATGTGTTAACTATTGTTAGTTAAAGCCTACAACAACCCTATTAAAATGCCAGGGTGCTTACTATCATCATTTTACTAAAAAGAAAATCAACCTAAAGCATCTATATATTCAGTGCAATCTCTATTAAAATCCTAATGGCATTTTCACAGAAATAGAACAAAAAAATCCTCAAATTTATATGAAACCACAAAAGACTTTGAACAGTCAAAGCATTCCTGAGAAAGACAAAGCCAGAGGTATCATACTCCCCAAACTATACTACGAAACTATACCATTCAAAATGATATGGTATTGATAGAAGAACAGACACACAGAGCAATGGAACAAGATTGAGAGCCCAGAAGTAAACTACACATATATGGACAACTAATTTATAACAGAGGAGCCAAGGATATACAATGTAGAAAGGAAAGTGTCTTCATTAAATGATTTTGGGAGAACTGGACAGCCATATGCAAAAGAATGAAACTGGTGAACCCTATCTTATATCACATATAAAAATTAAAATGCATTAAAGGCTTGAATACATGAGCTGAAACAAAATACATAGAAGAAAACATAGACACTAAGCTTCTGGACATTGGTCTCATTGGTGTTTTGTGAATTTGACTCCAAAGGTAGGGAAAACAAAAACAAAAATAAATAAATAGGACTACATCAAACTTTTAAAAGCTTTGCACAACAAAAGAAACCATCAACAAAACAAAAAGCCAACAAACCAAATGGGAAAAGATACTTCTGATAAGGGGTTCATATCCAAAATATATAAGGAACTCAACAACAACAGCAAAACAAACCAATTGAAAAATGGACAGAAGATTTGAATAGACATTTTTCCAAGGAAGACATGCAGATGGTCAACAGACATATGAAAAGATGGTCATTTTTGGGGGGAAAATACAAATCAAAATCACAATAAGATATCACTTCACACCTGTCAAAATGGTAATTATCAAAAAGATAAAGAATAACAAGTGTTGATGAGAATGTGGAGAAAAGGAAACCCTTGTACACTGTTGGTGGGATTGTACGTTGGTGCAGCCACTGTAGAAAACAGTATAGAGGTTTCTTAAGAAATTAGGAATTGAACTACCGTATGATCCATCAATTCCTCTTCTGGGTATTTATCTGAAGAATATGAAAACACTAATTTGTGAAGATATATGTACCCTTGAGTTAATTACAGCATATTTATAGTAGCCAAGATATGAAAACAACCTAAATTTCCACTGACAGATGAATGGAAAAGATGATGTGGCGCACACACACACACACACACACACACACACATGCACAACTGAATACTACTAAGCCATAAAAAAGATGAAATATTGCCATTTGTGACAACATGGATGGCTCTTGAGGATATTATGCTAAGTGAAATAAATTAGACGGAAAAGGACAAAAACCATGTGATTCCATTCATATACGAGATATAAAACCAAAAAGTAACAAATGAACTAACAAAACAAAACAAAGATAAAGTCATAGATACAACAGACTGGTGGTTGCCAGAGGGAAAGGAGGAGGGGGGAGGTTGAATTGGTAAAGGGGGTCAAATATATGGTAATAGAAGGAAACTAGACTTTTGATGGTGAGCAACCAGTAGAGTATACAGACATCAAATTATAATGCTGTACACCTGAAATTTATATAGTGTTATTAACCAATGTTACCACAATACATGTTTTAAAATAACAGTAAAAATAAATAAAAAATGTCCTTAAAGGATATAATGTGGCTTGCTCGCTTGTGACAAAGGCAATTTTGTAAGTCCAGTATTCTCAGCTTTAGTTGAATTTTTTTTCCCATCCCATGACACAGCTGCTGTAGTTCCTTCTCAATAAACTCGGCCTGAGATAACTATAATAGAGATGTAGAACTGAAGTGGAAGTTTCTAGGGTATTAAATGAAATTACTTTCTTTAAAGAGTCCTAAGTAATAAAATGTGAGCTGTAAGGATAACACCATGTAGAAATGAGCTAGCTATACAGAGGGTGGAGGGGACAGACAGAGTAAGAGTTAATTAAAGAAGAGGAGAAAACCAGAAATACTTCAAGGAAAAGTCAAACACACTGGGAGGATTAGAGCGTGAGCTGGTTGAGAGAGGAAGGTGCTCTCGGTGTGTACTTTGAAGCACCTGCTTTTCATTCCAGTTCACCACATAGCCTATTAATATATAAGAAACACATGATGAATAATGCAACAAGAAATGTCCTGACCCGTTGCATTTTACATTAACAATTTTCATTTTGTTTTATGGTTACAGAATACATACTTCAGAGGGAGAGAGATGAGACAGAGATACTGACATTTTCACATGAAATGGGCAAACCTATGGTTTTAATGAAAACCTTGTCCAATTTCTTCCTCAGCTTTAACTGACACCTAAAGGTAGTTGTCCAGTTATATTCATTTTCAAAATACACATGTGCTTCAGAAGCTTATGCCTTTTAAAAAAATACCACCTAGAAACTCGAGAGTTCTCTGCCATATTTGTTGCCTAGAATCCTAAGGATTATCCTGAATTTTAGTTATTTCTGAAGTGATTGTTGAGAGCTTCTCTTTTGCAATGTAAAAAAAATGAAGTTGCCTTTTTTTTTCTCCCTACCTAGATACACAGTACTGTTTGACAGTTCATCACTTTACCAGTCGTGGAAGAAGTACATCAATCACCAAAAAGTGTGCCTCTAGAAGTGAATGTCATTTTGTTGGCTGCCATCACAGCCGAGATTCTGAACATACAGTAAGGAAAGAAAAAGTGTGTGTGTGTGTGTGTGTGTGTGTGTGTGTGTGTGTGTGTGTAAAGTTACTGTCCTAAGGTTTCTTGCTGGTGATGGTTAGTTATACATCATGGAGAGGCAAGAAGGATAAGTAATAAGTTGAACATATTTATACTTGGAGGAAAAACTCCTTTACAGTGACGCAGTGGAGACCAAAGAAAAGTTGAAGACTTTCCATTCTTCAACAAAATGTTGCTAAAAACAAATGATAGTTCCCAGACTCCAGAGCTAGATCCTAGACCTTGGACTTTGGGCAAATTGTCTGAAGTCAGCTCTGGAAGCCCAAGAGCTAACCATCCATGAGAAAATGTCCAGTAATGTCAAGTACTACAGAGCCCAGCTCACCTATTTTGTTTGTGACCAGAAATCACCAAGAACACTGCACAGTGGAGCTGGAAGGTGGAAAGAGAAAAATGGTGGCAACTTTTACTAAGAAAACCCTGTCTCACCCACTATCTGAGCTTGGATGAGGAAGTAAGGGTCTGAAAGATTAACCAAGGTTTAATATGATGAACTATGGATATATTTTAGATCAATGGATATTTTTAATTTTCTCATTCTATCATTCTAAATGAGCATTTTACTCTTATATGCCTGGAATGCTGAAATGTTTGAGAAAAAATTACTTGAAACTATGTTAATTTCATGAGGTTTTAGAATTTGATTTAGCCTAGATGTACAGAATATTGTTCTGACGCCGTGGCTTTTAGCTCCGGCTACACAGGAGAATCTCCTAGGGAGTTTTTATAAGCTGTGTCGGTGGTGGCAGAGGGCATCCCAGACCAACTGGACCAACTTCAGATTGGGCTCTTGGGCATAGGATTTTTTTTAAAGTTCCCCAAGGAGATTCTGATGTGCAGTCTGTGTCGAAAACCACTGATAAAAAAACTTAAGAATCGCTGCCTTTATCTTACCTAGTCATCCTGGAAGCCTCTATGAATGGCAAGGATTATCAGGTTGAGGCATTGTACCAGAAATTATGACAGGAGATGGTTTCCCCTGAAAACATCTTGTGCTGTGAAGGAGCAAGTGTTTCTCATCAGCCATATTAGCAAGCCATTGCTGCTGTGATGATAGGAATCGGATGTTAGTATACACAAAAGAGAGTCATTATTATCCCCCAACTAGTAGTACTGAGAAAGAAAATCAATGACCAATCCAACATGTTCCTAGTTTTCATTTTTGTTTCAGTGTTTTTCCTTAGAAGTCTTTAGAAGATTTGTTGACTCAATCAAACAGTCATATTCAGTTTCTTTTCCTTGCTTGTGCTTGGGTTGATAGAGATAAATCATTAAAATGAAAAGACTCTCCAGATGGTCCTGACTTTCAGGTCAGTGCGGGGGAGGGTACCCAAGGATCTGAGTGACTCATAGACTGGATAACCATCTTTAATTCTGTATGTCCTCATAGAGCTCAAGAAACCTTTATTTTCTTTGTTTCACTCAATCACTTGCTATTTCCCCTCTCTTCCTTCTGTAACAGGAGTGTAGGTCTTGTTGTGAAGGAATGATCTGCAATGTAGAATTACCCACCAACCACACTAACGCGGTCTTCGCCATAATGCACGCTCAGAGAACGTCTGGCAGCGCTGCCCCCATGCTCTACCTGCCATTGCTTGCCTGGGTCTTCATGTATCCATTGATATGATGCCATCATTCCTAGGAGAGGCAGAGACGAGCCCTCTGAAGCACCAGCTAAAAACTGTGTAAGCAGTGAACTTTTGAATGAAGACCAATCTGGCAAAGAGTATACATTGGACCCCAAAGGAGGAGGCAGTTGTTTTTTAGCTAAAATGCTCCTGCATGTGGCCATGGGTCAGACGAAGGGGATTTGGCCAGGACTGAGGATATTATCTGGCTTCCAGGCTTCCTGATCAAAGAGGCTGCATTTTGTCACTTCTACAGGAAGGATCCTGCCAGCATCTACAACGGGCAGGTTGTAGTAGCCTGTATTGTCCATGCCTAACCGGGCCTTTAGCTGAAAGGACTTGTCAATCTCATTGACTCCTTCAGAGGCTGCTGAGTCGGACCCTCTCATTTCTGTGACTAGCTCAGAGCATCTCTATGAAATCTAACTCTTCTCCTGATGAGAAAGTAATTTCCCTGACAACTGTAGTCAATGACAAAGGCAACTCTAGGAGGAAAACTTCCATTTGAACTAATATGAAACCCATTTGCTAATTGTGGGGGGAAATAAAGCTTTTAAATTATATAATATAAAATGCATGCTTGTGTGTTTTTGCCTCAGATGGAACACATTTACCATGGTCATAAAGGAGGTCACTGAAGTTATGTTTCCATAGTACATGGGTGACATTTCTCTGGCTAAAAGTATAAAATTTTATGCCAAAGTGACTTAGTTGTTTTTTTGTTTTTTTTGTTTTTTTCCTTTTGGGGGAAGGACACTGAGGATGCTAAGTGCAAAAATTAGGGAATTGAGAAAGTCAGGAAACCTCCCTGATCAAGGAAGTTAACACCTTATCATATGATGTACCCTCCACAGTAGCAGATTAAAGTCAAAGAAATTGGCAAGAGAGTTCCTCTCCCCCATACAGTCAACTTGTCTCTGAATGTCAGGGCCACCAAGAGAACTTTTTTAAAAACATCCTAAAACATTTGGTTCCCTTATCTCCTTCTCTCTCCCTTTTATAGCAGTCTCAGAATTTCTAATTAGCAACTTCTTTCTGTTTCTAGAATCCTAATTTCCTGCCTTTACACTTTGGAGTGATCTTTAAACACTCTGCCCTTGTATATATAGTGATGAGTTAATGGAGTCTTCTTTTTTTTCTTTTTCTTTAATTGAGCATCCACCAGACACTGAGTACTCCATAGAATCCATTAATGATGCTATGCTTGCCACATTCACCTGTGATGGGGGTTAGCAAATTATGATTCAGGGGCCAAATATGTCCCAACTGTTCTTAGTCTGCTAGACTGCTGTAACAGATATACTATTGATTGGATGACTTATACTAAAACATTTAATCCTCAGCAGTCTGTGTGCTGGAAAGTTCAAGATCAAGATGCTGGAGGATTGGTGTCTGGTGAGGGCCCTCATCGTGGTTCGCAGAACACCTGCTGTTTGTATCCTCACAGGGTGGAGCAGAAAGAGAGCTCCTTTCCCTTCATTCTCTTATAAGGGCACTAATCTCATTAGTGAGGGCTCTACCTTCATGACTTAATTACCTCCCAAAGGCCCCACATCCAAATATCATTATATTAGGAATTTATACTTCAACATACGACTTTGAAGGGGGGAGCATAAATACTCAGTCAATAGCAACTACCTATTTTTGTGAATAAAGTTTTATTGGAAAACAGCCATGTCTGTTTGTTTACATATTGTCTATGGCTGCTTTCAAGCCATATCGGCAAGGATAAGTAGATACAGCAGAGAGCATATGGCTTACAACACCTAAAAGATTTACTATCTTGTCCTTTACAGTAAAAGTGCTGGCCCCTAACCTAGGAAATGGTAAAATTGCATCAGGAGAAAGCTGCTTGCTTTGCAGGGACCATGGTGCTAATGGTGGTTACTCGGCTTGTACAATGGTTTGCCAGATCTCTTCCCTTATTTTCTTTGTCTTCTGCATCAGTGGATTTTTCTTCTCTGTCTTATTTGTTCCACTCATTCAGTTCAGTCTCTTAGTAGTTATGTGCTAATACCAGGTGCTGAGGTATGTGTTTTTTTCTTTTCGTCTTTGACGCACTCGGAGCATTTTAATTTAAGGCTCTATAGTTTCCAATAAAACAGGGAAAAGGCAGACATCATTATCTCCCTGTTTCTGGTTGAACCGTAGACTCACCTGGAAGCATCAGTTTTGAAGGCTGATGTAGATTTATCTCGCCTTCACTCAGCACCTTGAAGTATTTGCGTTTTCATAGCTATGCTGTTTGAAATTAATTATATACGGCTTCACTTGAAACATTTTAATAGCATCTTCGGTGTCTTTTTATTCCTCGGGGTTTTTTTTCTTTTTTTTGACTGTGTAATTGACAAATTGGTAAAAAACCATTAGCAGACAGTTTTTCTATTTTGTTTCTGCTGTCTAGATTAATGAATTTTCCTGTGTGTGTGTATGTGTATGCATATGTGTATGTTTTCTTTCCTGAGGAAACTTCTTAATTTTCTCTTCACCCCACACATCATGTTTGCATGCATTTCACTCTCTACCATCACTCCCTTACGCATTTGAAATTGGGCTATGTTGAGTAAAGGAGGAAACAAAGGAACGAACAGAGGAAAGAAAACTTCTGGCAAAGACAGAAGTGAATACGGGTGCCAGATTTCCAAATAAAATATGGGATGCCCCAATAAATCTGAATTTCAGAGAAACAACAAATAATATTTTAGCATAAGTTCTTCATGAAGTCTGGCTCATCTAAGACAATATTTTCAAATCCTTATTGTAATAAATCTTCTGGGTTCTTCAGAACAATACAATTCCCAGGGCATCCTGGAGCTGTTGATTCAGTAGATCTGGGATGAAGTGCAAGCCTAACCCCAGTAATTGAATGTTAAATTAAAAAGTTTAAAAAGCTCTCAGGTGATTGTGATGCTCAGCCAGGTGTATTACCCTTGAAGTGAGAGGATTATTCCTTCCTCTGAAGCCCAGTCCTTGTATAATAGAAATGTTAATGAATAATAAACATGTACGCAAGTAACCTGGGTTAGAGCCAGTGGTTCTCAAAAGTGTGGTCCCCAGACCAACAGCATCAGCATCACTTAGAAACTTGTTAGAAATGCAAATTCTTCATTTTAGACATATTGAATCAGAAACTCTGTGGGTTCAATCTGTGTTTTAATAAGGCCTCCAGGTGCTTCTGATGCTCACATAAGCTCAAGAACTGCTGGACCAGAGAAGTGCTTCCCAAATGTCTTCAGTAAATGGGTCCCTGGTGTCTGCAGGAGACTCACTCAGGAAGCATGTAAAAAAAAAAAAGAAGAAGAAGAAGAAGAAGAAGAGGAGGAGGAGGAGGAGGAGGAGAAGAAATCAGACTTCAGAAAGTCAGATTCGTTATGTCTGAGTTGCATCAGAAAATTTGTATTTTTAATAAATTCCTCAATTGATTCTGATACATAGCCACTTTGGGAGCCACTAAACTAGAGATTATAAGATGGGGGTAATGTTGGTGACCAGAAGTCCCAAACTTCAACACTTGACCTTTGAGTTCTAACGTGAACATCCTATGCATAATAAGTGGACTCTGTGTAGTGTCTCTAATTTAAAAACTAGAATACAAAAACAAATTCCATTAGAGTCCATTACATGGATATTTTTCATCCATTGCATAGAGACCTGGAATGGCCAAGTATCCCAGACCGCAGACTAATTTAATTCGCCCCTAGCAAGCAAGAAAATGAAAGGTACTTTGTAGTCACAATGTCCAATGACAACTAGGGTAGTGGGGGCAGGAGAGGAGAGGAATGTGTAGATTTGTTGTTATAAAAGAGACAAAGGGATTAGCTGTGAATATGAGGAGGGTCTGAGAGAATGGCCTGTCAAAAGTCCATGTTGAATAGATCTGCATTTTAGGATAAACTTTGAATTCCCATTCGTCAGTCATTTTCTGAAAAAGAAAAAAATGGTACCGAACATATTTTTTTTCCTGGCTGTCTAAACCCTCAAACCCAACTCTGAGTGAAGTTAGCAGTCAGAAATTACAGGCATCATTTTCCATACAATCTGCATTCTGTCATGTCAGTCACTGTGTAAAATACATTTCATAAGAAGAGGGAAGGAGATTGGTCGGTTTCTCTTTCTCACTGGGAATGAACTTATAAAGCCCTGCAAAGCGTGAACTGAGCAATGTGAACTGGCAGGACTTGGGAGGTGAGGAGAGGTATGGAATCAGATGTGGAATATATATTCGTGAAATTGCTAGCTCTTACGCAAAATTCTTTTGTGACAGTAGATTGCCATCTTATAAAACTTTGCCCTGACCTTTGGATCTTGGATATTTTATTTTTCACCTAGTTCTTTGTCAATGACACTCTGATTTGTGGATGGGTCCACTGTGATGCTGGATATGTCTGGGTACAAATTATGCCAGAAGACAAAGGCTAGTAGTAGATGCACAAAGGTGAAAGTTGTAGAAACTGGAAAACAAATGGCTGTCATAATTTGAGTCTGCCTGTGGGCATAGTTCCACTTCTGTGCACCTGGTACAGTCCAGCATCTTTCTATCACACTGTCCACTTTTCACTTGGCCCTCATAATTCTGTCTTCTTCCCAGTCCCCCTCCCTCATGGTCTTGGCCTCTGTTTCATCAGTTGCGGAGGCTGGAAGCGACTTCAACTACAAATGACAGCACCAAATTGGTTTGTATATAAATTTATTGGCTCACACAACTGGAAGTCCTGAGGGAGAGCGTGTTCCAGGGTGGACTTAATCCAATGGTTTTAGCTCCATTTTCCACTATTCTTTTGGGTCTCAGCTCCTCCGTGCCCTCTGGTAAGGAGATGGCCACAGCTGTTCTATACTGCCCACTCAGTGTCCAGGGGAATGGATGGAAGGATACCACTGGACACTCACCAAGAAGAGATGAAGGTCTCTACTCAAGCTCCCAGAGAATCACAAGCGAGATATGGTTGCACTTGGCTTAGTACAGCTAAAGGGATCTCAGTGTCCCCAGAGGTATGTGAGGAGCATAGCAGCAGTTAGACATCTGAACAAAATAGAAATTAAAAAAAGGAGGAAGGAAGAAATGAATCTGGGTGGGCAGCCAGAAATGTCTGCTCCAGTTTCCCACATTTTGAGGTTGTGTTGCCACATTTTGAGGCAGTCATTAAGGTAGCTGGGAAAATGCTATCATGTTCGAGAGAAGCAAGCCAAATCCTCTGGAGCTGTACAGACTTGTTCTAACCTCGCAGCTAGCTAGAAGCAGACCCAGTCAGAAAAGCTCCCCTGCCTTCTGCAATTCCTACCACACTTTCTTTTGTTTAATGTGCATTGTAAACCCACAAGGAGTAGAGAGAGTATTCAGCACTTCCCTAACTATTCCATGAGAGAGCATTAAGCATCTGGGTTCCACAGAACACAATGTGTTTAGCCAACACCACTTTGCAAATGTGGAGAAATATGAAGGGAAAAGCTACAGAACACAGGCGTGGGTAAGATACTGACCCCGGAAATAAGTAGTATACCCTAGGTACGTGATGAATGTACACTGAGTACGTGAA